GCTAAATGATGACATGATCATACCCAACACAAAAACAAAAGTGAGGCCCACCAAATTACAATTTTGCATCATCTTCTTCCTCCAGCATCTTCTTTCTCGAATCTTCCTTCCTTCAGACAATCAATTCAATCAAACAATCAATTCAATATCAAACCCAACATGTGCCCTTTCTTTTTCCTTCCTCTTCCTTACCTTGCCTTCTTCATCTTAATTAAACAACCAAACCCACAAAAAAAAAAAAAAAAAAAGAACAGAAATTTTTTTGCCCCTGGATTTGAAGGAACCCAGCTCTTGGGTTCTTAAAGGAACCTAGCGCCTGGGTTCTCAAAGGAACCCAGCGCTTGGGTTCGAGAAGGAACCCAGGCACTTGGGTTCGAGAAGAAACCTAGCACTTGGATTCTTTCTCGAACCCAAGGCTTGGGTTCTCGAAGGAACCCAGCCGCCTGGGTTCGAGAAGAAACCTAGCACTTGGGTTCCTTCGAGAACCCAAGCACTGGGTTCATTGGAGAACCCAAGAGCACCTATGCCTTCGATTGCTTGCTGGGTTCGAAATCGAACCCAGCACCTATGCCTTCCTCATCTTCATCCACTTGCAAAAACCCAATGGTTGCCTTGTCTTCTTCATCAATCAATTTCTCATATCATCAAACAACAAAACCCAAACAAAGAAAACATAAATTTCTTTTTTTTTTTGGAACCCAGGGCTAGGTCTTAAGGAACCCAGGCATGATGGGTTCCATTGAACCCAGGCGCTGGGTTCAGTGGAACCCAGCATGCCTGGGTTTGAAGGGGAAAGAGAAGGGGAAGGGGAAGGGGAAAGGGAAAAGGAAAGAGAAGGAAAAAGAAAAATTTTTTTTTTAATTTTATTTTTCATAATATTTTTTTATATTATTATTTTTTACATGTCATCATTTTTTTGGTCTTATTGTCTTCCATGTCATCCTTTTCCCATCAAGTAACAAGACATGTAAGCGGATATTTAACGGAAGGACCAAATCGGGGTTAAAATGGTAAACAGTAGGGACCAAATCAGGAATTTTTTTAGTTTAGGGACCAAATCAAGGGCCTGTATGATAGTTCAGGGACCAAAATGGGATTTTAACTTTTTATTTTTTTTACTAATCTCTTGATATCCAATAATCACATTGGGTCTCAATTAATTTGAAATCGAGTCGCGTCGAACTCCATTTATGAGGAAACTTTCCCAGCATTTGTTTCTCCATTCACAACATGCTCTTTATTGGAGTATGGAAGATTAGGCATGACTTTTGCTTTGTAACAATGAGGTACTTGTGATATGTTTGTTAGTTGTGACTAGAAACAAAATTCAGGCCCATAAAAAAAAAATAGAAGCAAATTTTATGTGGGTTTTATTCTTAAGCATTATATGCATGATTATGTCGGTATTTGTGTCTATAAATATGTCTACGGGTCCGCCACTATATTATACCACCATATTATAGAATGGGAAGTTCATGCTGCCATTAAGGAAAAAAAAAAGTTATAAAATTGTGCTGGCTTTGGTAAAAAGGTTTTTCTGTTGATATTATAAAAAAAATAAAAAAGATTTTAATTGATATTTGTGAATATTAATAAAAAGCTATAAAATATTTTCAAATATTGGAGGAAACCAAATTAGATCACATAATTGCCAATCTTTCTGACAATCAAAATGCAAGAGGGTTTGCAACATTTATTCTCTTACTACTTGATTTAAGTAAATGACGGAAAGCTGCATGTGTTTTCATTACTTAATTTAAGTAAATGATGGAAAGCTGTATGTTTTCATTCAATCATTGGGTACAAAATTCACTAACTTGTTTAAGCACAAGATAATGAGAAGTCAAATCAAGAGGTCTGCAGGGATAGTTAGTTTTTCTATGTAATACCTGTTTTAAGTTATGGTTCTCTTTTCTTTTGAATATTTATATGGACCATGGAGTCGTCCTTGTGTTCCGTTGATAAAATTTTTTGTTATTAAAAAAAAAAATTTAATTTAAGTAACAAACTTCTTTCAATGCTTTACTAATTGTAATGTGTTGAGTTGTCATTCAGAAAATTGGGAGGAATTCAAGCATATCATGTGAATATCGTGTCAAGGAAAATTTTGTTTGTTTACTCAATAATTTTTAACTAGGTTTTATCATGTGAGACTAAATACATGTCACTTATTTTTTGATAACTTTTTTTATATTTTTTTTATTGATTTTGGTTACACAGTAAAATATAATTTTCTTCTATCTCATATTCCAACTCATTCTCGTATCATATAACTCAAATTTAAAATATTTTATTTTTAATAAAAAAAATTAAATTATTTAAATAGTTGACAATAACTCTCTTTTTTAAATGAAAGACCTCCAAATAAAATAACTAAAAGAACGTCTATTTGTAAATCATACTATGCCTCAAACAATGTTACAATTTGGAGGATTTTATTCTACAAAATGAGTTATTAATTGTTTTTAAACAACTCTAAGAATTTTAAACCATAAAAATGTATAAAAAGTTACTAATCTTAAATTAAACACAGTTTGTTAAGAAAATCAACTAAGAACAACCTGTCATTGACATGCATTTGCAGCAAATTTGCAAACTAGAAACTGCCCCGACTTACAAACTAAATCATATATACCAAATTAAAGCCTACTTTAAAACCTAAAGAAATCAGCTATAAGAAGCAACTTAATGCTTAAAAGAAGGCATGAAGTAAGCAAACAAACAGCCAAACTGAAAAATTACTTAAAGGGTTAGAATCTATAAAAAAAATCACGGACCAAATTAACAGAACATATTCGAATAATAAAGCTGGTTTCCTTCCAAATTCCCAAAGAACTATACAAAGATGCAATTTTTTAAGAAACTAAAAGAAAAAATATATATATTCAGACTAAAACTACGGAACATGAGCATGTCTTTGAACTTCAATCTAAAAATTGTGCTGACAGGTGGCTAAACTAATCGTTAATGATCTCAATAGATTAGTGATTATTTTTTTTGTTAAAAATAAAAAATCTTGAATTTAAGTCGCATAACATATGAGTGAGGCGAGATGAGATAAAAGATCGAAAATGCTTATCTTCTATTGTGCAACCAAGATAAAAAAAAAAAAAAAACTAAACTAATCCGAAAATTAAGGGTTGTTTTTATTGATTATTTTAATATAATTGATAATTAATATTTAATTACTAATAATTATTATTATTTATAATTTAAAATAATTGAAACCTTGGATTAAGACTAACAACTAATAACTATTCTCCAACATACAAAACAAACACCCCCTTTAGTGTCTATTAGCGTTGGGCAGTTCTTCAAGAGGGGCAAGCCTTAAAACTGATTTTTTTTTTTTTTTTTTTTGTTTTTTTCGAAAGAGTTTTCCTCTTTGCCGCTGTTGGAGATGATTTATGAGGTAACCGCTCTACTTTCCATAACCGTCTGGTTGACGGGTTCCATATCTGGGCTGCGGATTGGGTCCTTGTTGGGCTCAGGTATTGGGCCAACAGGTGCTCTCTAATTTGGGCCTCCTGGTCCCATTACAGTTTTGGAACTAGGGTTTCTGACTCCATATAAATACTTGCCCTTACTGATTTCTCGAAGATCTTGATCGCCTCGCCTGTGTTGCATCGCATCCTTTTGCTCTCCAAGGAGAAATCGATCATGGGACACTCAAATGTCTGGAACTCTCACCCCAAGAACTATGGCCCTGGTTCTCGCACCTGGTAACAACTCTCTCTCCATCAACTTGTTTGGTTTCTAGGAAAATGAAAGAAAATGATGCCACTTTCTTAAGTTATTTTCTTGTATACGATTCAAGCTCTCTAGCATGTGTTCTTAATAATGATTAGACGAGTAAATGCCCCTTTTTTTTCTGCAAAATATTTGTTATAGATTTTGATCTTCTCTATTGTTCCAATAGATGAAAGCTATTGTTCTAAAAGAAATAACAGCAAATCTTAATTTGGGTGTTTATTTCAGTTCCTCATATATGGGTCACACCACTTTTATGGTGGATTAGATTAGTTGGGTCTAAAGTTTGTATACCCATCTTGTAAAAAGAAAAAAAGAAATGGTTTTTTAGGTTAATCTTTATGTTGCAAACTATTAGTATGGTTAATCTTTATGGTCTTATACTTGAATTGTGCTCTTTTGTAGCCGTGTGTGCGGGAACCCACATGAGCTGATCAGGTCTTTATAGTCTTATACTTGAATTGTGCTCTTTTGTAGCCGTGTGTGCGGGAACCCACATGGGCTGATCAGGAAGTATGGCCTCATGTGTTGCAGACAGTGCTTCCGTAGCAATGCCAAGGAAATTGGCTTCATTAAGGTATTGCTTTTCTTCTCGACTCTTATGGTGATTAGTTGCTAATTCTAGTATTTTGAAATCCAAATTAGTAGTTAGTTATACTCTGAACTTTTTTCTATGCAGTACCGTTGAAGAATCAAATTTATGTTAAGGGGAAAGACTGTTTCCATGTATGAGCCGGAAAGTGTCTTTGAGTATTAAGAGCTTTAAGATGGTATTTTGTTGGTGATTTAACCTTGAACATAGAGGTTGTCGTTGTTTGACTAAGAAGACACTGTTTTATTTGTTTCAAATTAACGAGGCAGTCATTTGTGCTTTGATATGTATGCATCTGTTTACTTGGTTTCCATTTTTTCTTTTTTTCCCCTTTTATTATTACATTGGTTAAAGTTTCCCCAGTATTAATCACAAAGAAATGTTAAAAATGCTACTATGATAGTAAGTTCTATGTCAACTGAATACTTATTTCTGGATCCCTGCTTTTGGGCAATCTACAAGGATCAATCCTTCTCATGAATGTAAGAGATCCAATTAGAAGCATGCATTGGGACTTTTCTTCTCTCGTTTTAATTTTTTTTTAAATTTTTTTAAATTTTTTAAAATTTTTTTATTAATGTTTTTAGCCTGTAACTACTTAACTCAAGAATTATATTTTTTTCCTTTTATTTTATTTGATATTTTAAAATAGTTCAAAAATATTGTTAAATTTTAGGTTATCGTATTTCTTTAAAAATTTTAGAGGTCTTAGATGTGCTATTTAATTACAATGATTTTTGCATTTAACTTGATATTTTTATATAACAAATAACAAATAAATAATAATAAAGTTTTCGATTCTGGTTATCAGATTTTAAGATTTGTCTCAAAAACTTTTTATTTTGGTTTCTAGTTGTCAGTTTTGATTTCTAGTATTTTTATTTGTTTTTCCTTCAATTCCGATTTTTAGTTTTAGGCTTTATTTGGGAGTAATGTGTACATACTTTTTTCAACCACCTTGTCGGAAAATGTAATTTTATTGTAAATAATTAATTTTAACTAAGGTTTTATATATTTTTAATAATTTTAATTAGTAATTTATATATTTTTGAGATAGAGTGCTCCAAAACCAAGTCTTAGTGTTCAAATTTCTTGTAATGACTCTAATCATGGCCTAGTTTAAGGAGTTTAGAAGCACAAGAAATCCGCATTTGACAGAAGACACAGGCAGCATGCATCTCTTCTACCTTGCACGTTGGTAACCTAGAATTTCAATACCTATGTTTGTAAATTTTGTAGCTCCAATGGCTATTGGCAATATATTTCAGAAGTCAAAACTCGATCTTTGAAAGGGCAAATGCGGAGCTCCTTGATTCTCTAAACTCCCTAATTCGTTGGGGAATCTCATCAATTCTTTGGCCCTAGGAATATGGAAACACCAAACACCGAACTAATATAAATTCAATACAAGCGCTTTGGCCTGTGAACCAAAGAGGAATTTGAATGTTTCTTAGGGATGTTCTAGTTAAAAGTTTTGAGATTTTATATCGACGATGTGTAGTTGAATCTTATAAAAGAGAACTCTGAAAAAAAGAAGGGAAGAAATGAATGGTTTGAACATGAGATCTCAAAACAAATACATTTTTATTATAGGGAGTGTAAGATGAGCAATTAAAATAGTCACGAATCTTTTGAAAGGTCATGGTTACGTACTTTTTAAATGTGGTATTGGGGAAGTGGGAGGCACAACCATTGTTGTAAAGTTTAGGAGTCTAGACAAAAGTCATTCTCCCAAAGTCTATCATATAATCACTTTAAAAATGGCCTAACTAATACCATTTAACTAACCCAAAAACATCACTTAGTGGGGTTGTGTTGTGCTTCCTTTTGAACCAATTTGTGCTTCGAAGTGTGTCCTAAGTCACATGCCTACAAAGTTTCAACTATGCATTATTTCAATTTTTATACAAGTAGCCATAGCTTAATAACATGGAATCTCCGTTATAAAAACCATATCTCTTTCATGTCAAAACAAAGCTAGATGATGGAAAAATCATAGGGTAAGTTGGTTTTTATGTGGGTTATTAATTTTTTCCTAATTGTCAGTTAGTGGTTTAATCATTGGCTTATTACGTCTCATTTTTGTCAAGTTGGAAATGCCGCCCTTCTAACTCTCTTTATGGGTATCTAAACCTTGCATTTGACTAATCACACAAATACCTATAATTTTGCAAGACTCCATTTACGAGTACTAGGCTCCAACAAGCGTAGCTCATTGGAATCTTTTTTAGTACACCAAATGATATATTATATAACAGGGGATAGCTCTCCCCTTTTTATAATTAGTCTCCACTTGTCTTAAGGTTTAAATTTGAGAACGTCAATAGAGTCTTTTAAGTTTTTAATCACTTGAGACACCCCTTGGGGCGTAACTCATTTGAATTATTTGTACTCAAAAGACATCAAATGGATTTAAACTAGCATTTTTAACATGACTTAAATGTCTCTTTAACCACTTGAGTTAACTCCAATAAGTTAAACACAACAACTTTTAGAGTCTCTTATGCATAGCTATTGCTTTTTTAGAAGTTTTATTTGAGTAAATCTTCTGCTAAAGTGTAGAATTATATACGAATTCATATAAAACAATCATTAAAAACTTTAAAAATTGATAAAAATTGTTTGGCCTAATTTTGACTTTTACAACAAAAACGATCTTTTTAGAATTCAGGCCAAATAAGGGGTTAGCACCTCTTATTCAAGTTTCTTTTAAGTAGCGTTTATGGTTAGACGATTAAAGTGCAAGCTCCATAATGGCAATAGGGTTATGTTGTTTTCCCTTTTCAAATGATGTCTCACTTTCGTCTGTATAATCACTTGTGCTTTGATTTTTCACTTCTTAAAGTGAGTTTTTCATAATATTTTAATACCATGCTTTCAAATTTAGAGTATTGATAGAAATCTTAGAGAACTACCAGTGTATGTAACAGAACAAAAAATGCAGATAATGACAGGTTTCTTATACATTTAACATCTAGAGGTTTTTACCTTAAAATTACAGAAGAATTGTTCTTTTCAGTCTGGATTTATAAAACGGTTTGAACTTAAAATAATTACCATGCCTTTAAGGCTTTAATACCTTGAGTTTCAAAAGATAATAAAAGAACATTGTAATCATTTTTAATTTGAATTTTGACCTTTTTATTTACAGTTCTAGACTGAAAAACAGCAAATTATAATTATCTCTTTGCTATTTATGGTAAAAAAAAAAGGGTTTTCTTAAATTTAGTAATATTTTTCCTTTACAAGTGACATATGAAAAGAAAAGCAGATAGAAAATCTATGTCGCTGGTGTTATTCATCAGGCAGACAAAAAAACAAGTAGTAGTTCATGTTACCTTGTCTGAATTTCAGAAACTCATGAACAAACACTAAAAAAGGAATACATGAAATAAAATCATTGATGTAGTCACTGCAACCATATATAGAGGCACATGAAACTCTAACACTTGAGATAAATTCAGAAACAAAACCTTTGAGAACGATTCAATAATTTTTTGTGGCAATTAAAATGATGAGAAAGTGTGCAAGTACAACAAATAAGATAAAAGACCCAACACCTCTCCACCATCCCTGCTCTTCCTTTTGACTATAAATTATATATGCCTTCTCTTCATTAGCAAGGTTTCCATCTTTTCTAGTCAAACTAAAGTTTAGCTTTGAAGAAAACCCTCCACCTTTTTTTTGAAAATTTTCTCTAAAATTCATCTTATTTATGAGTTGATGTGATGATGATTAATTAAGAGTTTGTTTGGCCTATTCTAACTTTTATAAAAGTTCCGTTAGAATATAATTTTTTTGTGAAAATATTAAATCGTAAATTTATTAATAATCATAAAAAAATTAGACATTGATTAGAATTGTCAAATTCAATGACTTAAAAGGGAAGAAGGCCAAAAATTAAAAACTTTATAGAGAAAATCTACTTCAAAACTAGTAAGTTTGGGTTTCAATTAAAAGCTAAAACCAACTCTTTGAGAAAAACCAAAGACCTTTTTAAGAAATTAATTTCGGTTCAGTTTGAGCTCTTGCAGGAAAAAAAAATTTCTTTTTAGAAGCTACCCAGATAGGGTTTAAAGAAACTCCACCTTTCTTGATAGAAATTTCTCCAAAATCCATCTTATTTTTACATTCATGTAATAATTTATTAATAACATATCTCGAGATATTATCTATTTTGACTTATAAGCTATCGCCTCAAAATTCTAGAAGTTTTATATACAAGTATTGAATGCAGAATTACCTTGTACACACTCAAACAAGGCAGGATTCTTGCAACAAGGTAGGATTCTTGCTGCAAAGAGCGGAAAAGTCAAGATTTAAGGGAATTTTTCTAGTAAGGAAAAGGGAAAAAATGCGTTGAAAGCAAAGGATATAGAGATTGAGAGAGACCAAAAATGACATTTCATCTTTATATATATTAAACCAATTAACTAATAGGAATATATAACCTATGTCTTACTTTGCATTAATCACAAGGCAATATATTTGTCCTTTTTTTAAAGTTAATTTTCTTTTAAGTTTCTTGGTTTTTCATTGATACCACCACCAACTCCTTCTCCTGTGCTGCTTGCGAGATCCTTTCATGGAGGTTAGCTCATTCATCTCTTTCCCCAGCAGGTAATCTCTTTTTCTTTCTCAAAATGCTTAATTAATTACAGGCTTTTCTTCTGGATTTTTCTTTAATAATTAGTGGGTTTATAGAGCTTCTTTTTTTCTTTTTCTTTTTTTTGAGAGATTTTGGTTGACAGACATAATCATAGCAATAAATTAGAAGCCTTACGTTTTGATATTTATTTGATTTTGAGACTGAAAGTTACAGCAGGCACTACTCATTTTCAAAATTAATGGCGTGTTAACATCTTCATCTAATTATTTTTTCATTACTATATCTTGATCATAATTATCAACCTTAAAAGTAATTTTTTTTACTTATGTTACTATTAAAGGAGATGTGAACCAGATTCATGGATTTAGTGGATGCACTTTTAACCAATTGCGTTGATAGCTCAGGCGCCTTTTTTTGAAGCTCAATTATCAATCTGAAAAAACTAAGAATTAGTAGTTATCATTACACAAGAACAAGATTTTCTTATCAAGAGTACCAAAAGTAGCCTGGGACATGAGTAGTTATGTGGAAAGTTTCTTCTAATAAACGATAAAAATTTTATATTCAAATGATACAACGTGCAAAATGAATGGATAAATTAATAAAAAAGAGTTATTTTATATTGTACAATAAAAATCTTAAAAATTATATTATAGCACGAGTAGTAATTCACATAGCAAAGATGTATAGCAACTTATTCTCATCTTTTACTAATATCATCTACATCTCATATAACTTAAAAGACTAAACCTCTTATCATAAAATTACTTAGGTTATCAGATATGCAGTAATGATTTTAAATACATAAATAAAGAAAGCTACTCTCTTGGTTATTGTAGGGGGATGAACTCAACATTTTAAATACATAAATAAAGAAAGCTGCTCCCTTGGTTATTGTAGGGGGATGAACTCTCAACTTTCATAATGAATATTTTAAAGTTAGGGTAAGTGGTAAAACTACTGTGATATCATTAAGTTACTTGTATTCCTGTAATTATTTTTATTGCAAAGAAAAATCAATTGCTTCTGCTTTTGGACAAATTATAAACGGTGGATGATCGAGAATTTACTCGAGCACTGCCTGTTTGGCATGCGGCATTCATTGTTGCTCCCTAACACAACTGTTATTGGGTGTTTAATGTACTAAAGACTTAGTTGATTAAACACCATTTAGCAATTTTTGAGAGCAAGGTACTCTTGAGGCAACAGTTTCCCCCTAAAGCTGCATACTAAACCTATGTATGACAAAGACACTTTTAGTCTTTTATTTATCACCTAGGGTAACAGCCTTTGTACGTTTTATATTTGCAAAACAGTTAATAGGCTAAGTGGTTAACTAGGTGAGTGAAATGCATCTTGAATGGGTTTTGAGCATGGTAAATGTCATCCCCACATCCACAAGGTTTGCCTCAATTGGTGGCATTCAAACACTTCGACAACAAGATCTTTGGTTTGAATCCCGTTGCCAGTATTTCTTTGTGGATAAGCAATTTGTAAACTCCACTATAAAGTCCCCAATGAGCTGATGGTATGCTCTAGCCTTGAATTGGGTAACCTCCACTCACCATAAACTTTTCATCTACAGAAAAAATTGTCACCCCCACTTATTATCTCTTTAAAAATTTAAAAGAAATGATTGTCTTCATCAAAATTAAAAAAATGCATATTTTGTTTTGGGGTTAATTCATATGCTATATATGAAAATATAACATTCTCATGAATATGAAGAGGTATGGGTTTCTTTCTCTTCAAAGTGGCATTAGCTTTCCAAAAAAGAGAAATGGTAAAAATGTAAGAGCATGTATTCATAATGTTGGCATTTTTCTGGTGGGTCTATTTACATATAATGAGCATTTTGATTTTGACAGAAAATTTTGCCTTTGTACCATTTCATAAGAAATAGTTGCCTACATCTGCTCAGTAAATAGACCTGTCAATATATTATCTTCATCAATGCATACAACTGCATAAAA